GGATGTCTTCCCTCTGGGTGAAACACAAAGTTTGTTTGAAGAGTCTGTAACTGGATGAGTTCCCTTTAACGTAGGTGCCTGAAAAAAAGTCTAAAACTTTCTATTTTTAAGCTACCCCGGGAGATTTTTTATCTGAATTTTTAGTAATAAGTAATGGATTGTCATATTTTATCAAAGAAACATTCAGTGGCATCATGTTCCTATTTGTCTGTGTCTATTCGTAAGGTACTTTGTATGCCGAGGAAATGTGCACAACTTTATGTGAGAACAACTGTAATATATAAGAAAAGAGAAAGAGTTAGCCCATGACTTAGTGAGCACACAGGGAAAACTTAAATTTAATAAGCAAAGCTATATATGGTAATCATCAATATTATAGAAATAAGACTCAGACAATTTTTATTCAGAATTTAATGTGCTAACAAGAGACAACGAGAGATTACTAATTTATGATAAAGTCAAAAGTGGAGTTATGGAAACGGTACATTCAAATGGTTAAAACAATTTTCAAAGCCAGTATAAGTACAATACATTGACAAAACGAGGCTACTTATTATCCAAACAGAAAGCGTAATTTATATACAGAAGAACCAATAACAAATAGCATTGTGGTTGTAAAGGTTAAATAATTTTGAGTAAAAAAAAGGAAAAGTGTTTTGTAATACTGCATGAAGTAAAATAAATTTTGATATTACTAACATAGTTAAGGTACCAAAATAAAGTGCCCGTGCTCAGGTGAATCTGAAATCAGCAAGTATACAAGAAATGCTAACGATGACGTTTGAAGTTCGACTGCTACACAGTAACAACAATAATATTAGTACAACAGACTAATATCATAAGGTTTGCTTCTTGTTATCATAGTACCGTTCTGGGTATCTAGTAATGTTCAGTTGATGATAGTCTAGACTTTTGGCTACACTAATTCTAGCAGGTTCGGTAGTCAATTGTGGATATGTACATCTTGCAATTTGATTGAGTGCGCTTTTCTCAGAAGAGTAAGATTTTTGATACCAGCAGCTGTCACATTACCAGGCAAGAAACTGGATTGTTGCAATGTAGGGATAGTAAAGTAATAATTTGAGTGCGAAGAGAAAACGACGACCCCAAGGAGGAATAACTAATTGGTAATGTGTAAGAAGACGGAGCCGAAAAGATGAGAGGGGAAACGGAGATGATAACAAAGGAAATGGAAAGTGGTCACTGATTTATGGTAATGATAACCGCGGCAAGTTGTAAGACATGCATCAGACACAGCTGGCCGAAGAGGGAGATGGTAATGCATGGGTTAGTGCTTGCCAAGTCTTCTCTAAAACCCATGTACTGAGGGGGTGATAGTCACTTAGGATGGGAAAACACTCCAAATGAGGGCGACTAATGATGATAAAAGGTGAGAGAGCATCTGGGTGTTCGCTCTTTGATGTGCAATCTTCCGAGGGTTGCCTCAAGGGGCTTAATGACGATGTTATTTTAGTGTGTTTGCTAGCATCCTCCATTCCTTTCTTATCTCATGGCGTCATACATATATTCAGTCAGTTCTGTACTTCTAATGGCTGCAACAAGTCTGTCATTAAATCACTCAGAAGGGGTTATATTCTGCTTGCTGAGGCTTTGTGGTAGAGTGTTCAAGTCTCCAAACAGAAGTATTAGGTTAGAATCCAGATGATGTAGTTCTAGCATCCCTTGTATTATCCCATCTTCCGGGAGTTAGAAGATGTGGGGGCTGACATGTCTCTACAATTAAGTACTTTCAGCCATTCTCATCAAAGCAACATCGGTATAATTCTATCACTTCAGTTAGTTCAGCACTGTGTTATCATAACCTTGAGGTGACTGTTAATGTATATTGCCGCTCCATCTATTTTGTGTACCTCATCGTATCTGGGAGTTGTCATGCCTTGAATGCTCACTTCTTCCTCCATGATTTTTAGCGATAGACGCGTTCTAAATAGGACTGTATCATTGATCATTTATTCTTGAAACACCGACCAGCGACGATCCGTAAGACGTTAAGCGAGAACACCAAGACTGTTACAAGTGTAGGTCTGTTCACCTCGAAGACATGACAACAACTCTAGTGGAGAATACATCGAATTCTATATTGATTTGTACACCCATTTGATTTTTGATTACGAAAAAGTCACATGTATAAAAAAATTCTCCGAAATGTAACAAAACCACATACCACATCTCACGCTAAAAGTAGTTCAAGTTAATTCAATGCAAAAAATATAATTTTTAGAATAAACATCACGCCGAAATTAACACATATATTAAATTGAAAAGTCATCATATAGAAGCGAAAAATTACTGTCAAACAAGTATAGCAATGAGTTAAAAATATAACGTCGTCACTTATTACTGACACATCACCTCGCTATTTTTAAAGGATTATAAGAAAGGTTTTCCAACGGTTTCCACCCGCCATCTCATATAACTACAAACGTTTGGAAGGAGAAAAATGCTCATGATTGGACATATTACTCGTACTTGTAGTTACAGTGCAAATACTGGTCGCAAAGCTATTACTGTGCATACCACCCAATAAAGAGGAAGTAAAATGTGAGACAATTTAAAGAACAGGTATGCCAGACGAATGTTTTGGAGAAGGAAAATAATAAATATAGGTGAACATGTGCTACATGATGTTAGTGAACACTTTACTGATGCAAATATGATCGACCTGGTTCTCCGTGAATTACTCCAGGGGTATCCATGTAACTTTGTGCCTGCGTTTATGTCGCCTATAACCATTTTGTTGAACGTATATAAATTTGCAAGTCTCTCTCCATTCTCGATCCTTTTTCCCAGTCCATCTCGTCTTATGAGATATTTACACTCGTGTTACTCACTCTCATTTTGGCATTTAGGTCCCACATCAAGATGGTCAAGTGCTTTCCTTAGCACTTTGTAATGATTGATTGCAGTCTGTCGTCGTTGTTATAACATTGGACAATGTTATAGTGATTCTAACCTCTTATTTTTGAATGATATTCTGATGATCCTTTATCCATGACATTTTCATCCTATGGGTGGTTTACGCGCCTCTATAGACAGCATTAGAGGAACCTCCTGGTTGTGCGCAGCGTTTTCTTCGTAAACGGAGTAAAGCAGCAGCGCTTCCGAATCTATCCCTTATTGTCCAGCTTGGGTCCAATGTGTTTTACTGATTCCGAGCACCGCCAATTTGTATCTTTCCGTCTTTGTAGCTATTTGACTGGTCTACCCGGACTTCTAAAATGTCCGGACGTTCCATTTACTTAAAGTATTATTTGCTGTGGTTATTATAAGGGAAATTAGCCTCATAGCTTCCAAAAGAACTAAGGTTTTCACTATAGGCGTCATAACTTTTCTAAATACAGATTCGTCAATTTCAAACACTGAATTTATATGGATGATCTACGAAGATTAGGGTTATTAACCACGCAACCACTTGTACACAGTTGTCCGGCGTAGCGAGCGACAGTAGATCAAGAAAAGCTCTTGGTGGAGCTGATCGAATGGATTTGATAAAAGAATAGCTTCATTACATACTTGTAGTACTTGAGGAAGATTTCGTCAAATAGTGAGAGATAAACGTAAGTCCCATAATTGGCGAGTCCGTGGTAACATCAACTCCTAAAGTCACCATCCTCGAAGCTAACTGAGAAGACTTACATTGAACGCTCAACACTTGGAAGACGTGAACATGGGAGTATGTGGTTGGGACACCATGGTTCAGTAATACAGGTGTGGCCACCTTTTGCTTTCTGTGATGAATACATAATTCTATCCCCAGCCGAAATATGTTCTTTAGGGTTCACATAAAGTACACTACCTACTGTCATGGTAAAAAGAGTTAGTGTAGACGATGATGTGACTTCTATGTAAGATCTTATGAACTAAATAGTCATATCATAGCGACTTCACAGTATAAGATTATTTTTATTATTCCATCCATAAAGCGGTTCAGGGGATATCTAAATTGAGCAAGCGTTCGACGTGACCGGATATCTACTGGAAACCTATTCCAGAGGTTTGCATAACGTGTGACAAACAAAGTTAACTTTAATTTACCTGATTTTCTCGATATCTTCAGCACAAAATCCTGATTTTGAAGGTTGGAACTACTACGTTTGGCAAATGCTAGAGTTTCATGACTTGCCGTAGTTTTATTATGCGATATTTCGAAATTTTAAAGTGAGGTTAAGTTTAACCCGTTTTTACCGCAACTGATGCGGTTTCTGTGCTTCTCATTTATGCTTATATGGTAGGTCGGACGTGAAAAATCTTGCAAAATGAAGTTGTACCTTCCCAATTTCTAGCCGGTCAATGGAACGCATGTAACTTAATATAGTTGGGAAGCATTCCAGTAGAGGCTAAACACGTATCTTGTATGATGTTATTTTCGGTTCCCTCAAGTGAAAATTGCGGTTGACGAACCCAATAAGTCTGCTGACTTTAAGCATTTGGGGTTTAGCCCTTTCGGTGAATGAAAGACCTATGGAGTATTTCAATTCAACTTGTCCGGGTGCTTATTTGTGGGTTGGACGTGTCGAAATACATGTACTCAGATTTTTTCGTGTTAAGAGAGAAGCCAGGCATAACATCGGTTTTTGAGTTGGTCCAGATCTTAAAGTATCATACGGCTGACATTTAAACTGGGACGTGGGTGGAATATACATACAACTTTAAGGTCGTCGGCAAATAGAAAGGTACAGCCAAATGTAAAGTCATTGAGTATGTCGTTAACCTATATGATGAACGATAGGGTTCCAATAACTGTTTATTATACAATAAATTATTCTGGGTGACATATTACTCATGACGTTTTGGAAATAAATCTTAGTAGTAACGTCGCTTGTGTTGCACGTGGATGTGACGGAGGGGTAACCTAATTTAGGTGCTAATCATTAGGTGTGGGCAAGGTTTAAACGTTAGGTCCTTTTGAAATGTGCCCGCCCTTTCGTTTCAACGACCTTGAACGGCTTGATTAGAGGCGGTCATTCCGTATTTCAATTGCCGTGGGTTGGTTGGATTGCATGAGTACCAAGTTTTTTCATATATAAGTCATGTTATGCTACATAAAAAAGCACGAAATAAATACGAAAACCATTAATTTAGCGTTCTCTGTTTTGTAGTGTACACGTTGGCTCTGTTGTTGCTTTGTAATTTGATCTTTGATCCCAACAACTGTAGTAAAGCTCAACGAAATGTCAAGTCACAGGTAAATCCTAAGTATTTGTAGTATTTTCTTGGGTTATTATTGTCACAAGGAATAACCTTTTAATAATTAGTCATTTCTGTTTTTAGTGCTTCATGCTCAAGTGACATTTCAGTCGACCTAACCGATGCCTTTCGAAGTATGATACTGAACAAGCGTTTCGTCTTGTGGGATGATTTTGAAAGCGCCTTAAAAGAGTTCCAAAAAGTATGGAATTATAGTTTTATCGCTTCTCAGACTACTTATACTCGTTACATCCACACAGAAAGCAGATTGCTGAAGGATGTCAGGTTCAAATACCTGTTTGTATCGTTTAATTGTACGTTTGGTCATAAGAGGAAATCGGAAGGTTTGAAAGTGAGGCAAAAATCGTAAGATCTGTAACTAATATCTTACGTTTAAGGTCTAAATTCCGTAATTGTCGATCTAAATTTCGTGTAAGACTAGAGGAGCAAGGATATGTCATCAAATCCTACAACATGCTCCACAATCATCCATGTAGTAGTTCATGGATGGTATGTGATCCATTGACAAGGAGATTATCGTCAGAAGAAAAAGAGAACTTGAAGCCCGTAATACTTCACTGTGAGTCAGCAGATGAAGTTATCGAAAGCATTAAGGAGAGAACTGGTAAGCAAGTAACTGCTGCCGATGTCAAAGGTATGAAAGCTACACTCTCCACTGGTAAGTGTATATAAATATATTTCAGGTTGTTTTACTCGGAACCAGGTAATGGATATGCTTAGACAGAGAGGCGAAGTGAAGGAACATTTAGAAAATGGATATGCCACTAGAATATGTTTCAGTAGTTCTAACCAAATACAACTGTACAGAAAATATCCAGAAGTTGTGTGCATTGATTCTACGTATAATACTAATAATAAAAAGTGAATATGTTTATCCTTGTATTTTACTATGTAGATATTCCTTATTCCAGTTAGTAGTGACGGATAATTGCGGTCGAGGTAGAACTGTAATGTTTGCATGGACTCGAAGGGAAAAACGTGCTGATGTTATATGGATTCTAGATCAATTCAAAGAGATAATGGGGGATACATTGTTGACTGAAACATTTGTGATGGACTGCGCAAGATGTGAAAGCGCGGCTGTCCGTATGACACACGGACATGCAGGTAAGCTATATCAATTATGAAATACTAACTGCATAGCTCATCAACTTCTTAGGTATTGTAGCAGATGGAAGTTACATAATACCCAGAACTTCCAAAATTATACATTAACTGCATTAACACGACGGAGTGAAGTGTATATAAGTATTCAACGAAGTCAAAGAATCCATAAGCAACGCATCATTGAGAAGTATGGTGAACGTTTCGCAACGGAAGTTGAGAAGAAGGTGGACAATTATTACTTAAAAATTCTTAATACCAACTTGTAAACTTGATTTTCTGCTTTAGCAGCAATGATTATTCAATAAACTGTCATAATTTTAATTTTCATCTTATTCCTAGTTTCATGGGAATAAATAGCAATGACGTTCATGTGTAACTGTTTGTAATAATTAAGAATGATTCAGAAACCCTACATCCACGTACAATCTTGCAGATTAGGCACCCACATATCATATTCACCTTCGTCGGATTACGTTTATAATTAAAATCGTATCAGTAGCTAAGATTTTAATTCCATGTGATTAGTTCCGCTTATGAATTAAAATGAAACCAGGATAAATGTTGATTAACAATGGTATGCATTCGTTATAACTAAATATGCATTAGGATTTAACAGTGATGTGGGAAACAGTTGACATACCTTAATATGAATAATTGAAATGACGTGGGTTATCAATAATGACTAGATATATATATATATATATATGCAGTTTAAGGTCAAAGGTCATTTGTTTTTACAGTCAATAACACATTAAGAATGGGTGGTGTAATAGTGGACTGGAGTTCACAGACAGATAAGTGGTGTGAAAATCTTATGGCCTATAAGTGATCCGTGGATTTAAGAACTGAAAACTTGGGTCACGTAATAACTTATTACAATTTGAAGAGGTCACATAATTACAGAGGATTAAGTGAGCAGATGTAAGTGACAGGGTGCTGGAATAAATCGGCAACTAAATTTTAAAAGTGAAATGAATTAATACATAATCCATCTTATTACTTGTTCACTCCATGGATTATAAGGAGTTCATATTATTCTATATCTATATTTGTTCTAGCGTCATATCGACTATTAATAAAGACGGACACGGTTTATAAAGTAAGACAATAAGTGTAGTTGCTATATTTATATTTCACTAATTCATTAGTTGAATAAAAATGTTACTAGGCAATACGGAACACAGTTAACGTGAACATGTAAACCGTTTTTTAACAAATTCTGTAAGTTGTAGACCGGCGTAAACATCACAAACCTTTGACGACTTTATTGGATTCATACAATTCTGAAAAACAAACAAATCAGTTGTGAAATAAAGAATTAGACCTAGTTATAAGTATCACATTCAATAAGTACATCAAATAGCAGGTTACAGAATGTACCTATAAGTCTCTTATTTGCAGACAGCGCTAATCATTAGAGATTTCTATTTCCTTTAATAATAATTAATAGGTAATCTTTACAACACACAAATCAATGTTATTTAAAAATTGCTGAAATCAGTTTCGTCACAACAAAGAAGCGTGGTCTGAATTATGAAGAAAATGTTATTCATTAATGTGGCATAAACGAGATATGAATACAAGGAACTTGTGATTCTGCTTCCATTGCTCATTCACTTTTCGTCCCGTTGTCTGCATGAATTACTTCGGACGAGTCAGTCTGTAATACAGTAGGAATTCATGAATTAACTCATGAATAGTTGTTTTTTATTCAAGTCTGTGTCGTAACAAGCACTGGGAATTTATTCAGTGTCTAACCCTTGTATTATTTCGTACATACATCTGGTATTAGCAAGAAAAATTGGTAAGTACCATTTAGATATTACTCGACAATATGCATCATAAGTTTGTTCACATTTTCGTCTGAGACTGTGCATTTCGTTTACAGAAAATTATTCGTCAACCCTATAACAGACACATCATGAATCAATATTAAGTACGACATGGTTTTGTCACCATGCTCAGAAGAGACAGCCATCGTTTCACTTATGAAGATTTTGTGCCTATTTAATGTGGTGTTATACACTGTTCCTGTATACGTTCAGAAAGCCGGTAAAAAAGACTATCAACATCAATTCTTACTCACATAATTTTTCTCTGATACGTTACACAATAATATGTCACTTCAATACCAAACAATGCTACCTTTAGTGCAAATAACCTTTTATGGCTAAATACAAACAATTTATATAACATCCATAGTTAGTTTAATGCTTACTTCTTTCTGATAACATCTTATAAACGACTGCGAACATCTATGTTTGCTGTCACCATAATCAAGGAGGTGAACCATATATAATGCTTTTCACGGCTTATTTTCATGAAAAGTCAATCTGTTTTCTATTTTTCACTAGAAAAATGGTGATTTGACTTGTTTGACCTTGTATTATTAAAAAATAACCATATTACGCCAACTGCATGTTTACTTAGGTGGTGAGCACAAAATACGTCAAACTGCTTATAAATTGAAATAAATACTATCTTCCAATCACAAAGATTACGAGAAGTCACGTATGATGGAAAAAAGGCTGTTAATAGCTGATAAATAACGAAATATAAAATCCACGACAATATGTTACATGTGCGCGAAAACCCGTAAACTAACACGCATAGTGTGCCTTAGGTGTGACTTTATGTTGGCTGGTTGATCATGCCATTCCTGTCAAACTTGAGTAAGCTCTCAGTCATTCGACACAGATCATCATTTTTGGTTATTTATTCTCTGAAGAAGTGACTTACACTAAGTCACGAAACGTCAGAAAATCCATTTTTCTACTCATTGGGATATTACATATATATTATTTTTATTTACAGATCATCTACGTTAGTGATCTATATACTCAACAAAATGTTCTGTTGCTGACATAAAACAAGAGACTGTTTAGGCACCTGTCCCAAGTCATTGTGACCTAATGAAAGGTTATTCGTTTTACATATTCTTGTGAGTTTCTGCAGGCCAGACACATGGTCAAATGCACCTAGTTGACACGGAACCAAACCTTCACTCATGCCAACGAAACTGTTCAGATCTCCTGGACGTTTATGGTCTGCTCCTGTTTCTATGATCTGAGTGCATTTTTGCGATAGTCTCTGTGAAACTTTAAACACTTGCGATGAGTTCTGCTATGACTGGTTCTTTTGACGATTAATAGTTTTGTGCGTATTTTATCATACGTGGTCCAGTTAGAGGACTTCTTTTATTATTCTGTCTGTGATATGTGCTAGGCGTGGCAAAGAAGTGTCTGGGACTTGATGAATGTAGTATGTGAAAGCTTGTGTCCATCCCTGTTTAAGGACTGCTTAATACGTAACTATTATTGTATGAGCAATATATAACGAGCTTAGGGTGCCGAAACCTTACAATTTACAGTCTCCATAAGTTTCTGGAATATTGTCATCGTCGTTCGGCAATAAGACTCGAGAATTGGAAATCAGCCAGACAATCCATAGTTTGAGATAGAGTAAAGTGCCAAGTGAAGAAACAACATGAGGAAGTAGATCAGGATAACTGTCCCTTCCTTTCTTACGTTAATTGCCAGATTACGTGCATATTTGCCATATTTGCTAGTGGTTGACGTTTTAATAAACCTATTCCACTGAAGCATGTAAATACTACCAAAGCTTGTTAACGAACTATCATAGCTAAACATGAATATAGACGATCAGTCATTATTATCGATCGAGCGAGTAGGCTGTGAGTACTAGTCAACATTACTGCTGGGATATTCGGAAAAATATACCAATAATTATCGCGTTAAGTCTGATGGTGTCCTTGAACTTTAAATGGACATTCCCTATTGGTCAGTATTTATTCCACTTGTTAAATATTGTACAAATGTTGTTTTCCATTTTATGGTATGATGTGGTCTGTTTGGTTGGTATATAAACAGAGTATGTCTGAAATATAACGATTCATATCTCAGGGGCTGAGACTTGCGTTCTGGACTCAAGTGCCTGAGCTAGACAGGGGAGTGGGGCCAATCAGGACTCTAGGCTGCTCGTACGCGTTTTACGTGTCCGATCGATAGAATACGCTGCGCGCCTAATATGCAGTCACAAGTCACAACAATTACAATACGATGACACACGTAAGTGTTAATCAACAGACTAGTATAAAAATGGGTTAACATAGGTAAGACCCAGTCGATCAAGCTAAAGTGAATATGAGGATGAACGACAAGCTGCATTTCTTTAGTCAGTCTCACCAATGTGATATTACAAAGTGTATTTTGGTATTCGTACACTCATAGTAGCATTGGACCCTACCCACACAATCCTCAGAGCTGAACAAGAGACAGTTGGGAGAATAGATATTTAATACTTAACGCGGTGAAAAACCCAACAGTAGAGAAGGCGGACAAAGCTGGTATGACTCAGCCTTGTGGATGTGTTCACCCTTGTTTTACTTATCTCTTTTGTTCATATTGAATATATTGTCCTATCCCCAGCCTAAATTTGTACTCCATCATATATTGGTGATGTTGCATTACGATAGAACGAGTCAGTGTAGACAATGATGTGACTTGCACGTGAGCTCTTATAGATTGAGTAGTCATATCATGACAGATCTACAATTTTAGAACTAGGTCTATTATTATGACAATACAAAAAGGAAGTAGACCACAATACTACGCACTGACCATGAATTTTATGACCTTGAATGTCTGACTTTTCTATCACGCGACTTATCAACCAATCAGGATCCGGCTTACACTATCTTCGCGCTATGCCAATCCAATGTTGTTCAACCGGTATGAGCAGTTTAGCGTCCTTATTGGTCCTATGTCCTCCTAACCCTTCCACTTGAGTCCAGAACACGATACCAGTTTCTGTAATATGAATCGAATCAGACCAGATCGTTTATTTCAGACATACCCGGTTTATATATCAACGTACCATAAAATAGGAAATAATATTTGTACACAAATAAGCCAAAAAGTGGCTGTGAATGAGGGGGACAATAATTAATAGACTGAGCATAATTTAAGAACCGTAGATCGTACAATAATAAAATATAGGTCAAAATAAAGCTTATAATAAGAGGAATATAAGTATACATAGTGTAATTGTTGAGTAGTTATACAATAAGAATATTTATAGAATATTAGTCCATGAATAGTCCTTGGAAGTTACCTGTAATTTACTCTTCACCGGATATAACAATGACAATATAGTGATCGGCTTAATCTCGAAGTTGTAGATATGCCATGATATGATTATCTAATCTGTGAGATCCTATGTGAAAGCGACATAACGTATAGCACTTCTGAGAAATATATTTGTTTCACAGATTGAAATCATGAGTCAATTGAGGCTAGACC